CTGATGTCCGTCTTTCCATCCTCTCACTTTGCTCCAGCTCTGGTGAGCTCCCCTACCCACTCCCCAGCATCCTGCTACGCCTCATTCTGTTTTGGTTTTGGCATCCAATTTTTGCTTTCTGGTTTTTTTATCTGTAAGGGTGCTGTTTTTGCCTGACCTCCCTCTGAGAACAAGGCTGTCACCTGTCTGGGCCATGGCCTAAATGCTAATGTGTAACCTGAGAAGGCCATAGGAAGTCTTGCTCGCAGGACTTCCAAGTTGAGTTGGGTATGTTGTCTCACCCATCCCCCCTGGAGCTTCCCCCACAGGTAACCTTTCTATGCTTATTTGCCCAGTTCAATTGGCTTCACTGGTATGTAGCAAGACCTGGCAGAAAAGAGTTGTCTCTTGGTGAAGAAACACCTTTTAAAGGCCGAGCTACTACAAAGTACGCCCTCTAAGCTGGTAATATCCGGGTCCTTTCTGACCTGACATGCTTGGGTTTCAGGTTCCACTCTAGTACACCCTTTTAGAGCACTTGGGAAGAATTCGGAATTGCTCGTGGTCTCTGACAAAGCAGATATGGCCACGTGGCGAAGGGGAAGCCTTTCCTTGCACTGGGCAAGTAGACTGAGCACCATGACAGCAACTGAAGCCAATCATAGAAGGTATGTGTGGATTCCCCAGGGACAGCTTGGAGTAAACGGCCTACTATACATAGCATTATTTTCAAAGTATAGTGACTTGATTGGGAACTGAACCTAACTCCCCTTTTAAAGATATCGTTACATTTCTTGCGCCTCCCTCCTCTCCAGGCCGACAGTACCGACAGTATTGTCTTGACTACCATAGTGAGCCATTGGCCTTTCTGCTGATGTGGTGCCTCTTAGTTTCCTAGGCTGGGGTGAGAGTTTTCACTTTGCCACCATTGTTGACCCATCATGATGAGCTTGGTCCCTTTCGTGGTCCTTTGCCCTGCAGACTGTCCTGCCTGGCCTCATGTCTGGCCCTGCTGAAGCACTGTGTGCTCATGTACAATGCATTGCCATCCTTCCATGCCATCATCGGGCCCCACCGAGCCCTGGCCGAGCACCTTGTGGACTGTGGCCTCCCCCAAGACCTTCAGGTGAGTTTGCTGCCACCAGCTTAGTGCTATGCTTTTGACACTGAAGTCACAGCTTCAAAGTCATCACTGGGAAGCAAGTGTCTGATGGAGCCATCCGCAAAATCATGAGTACACATGGAAAATAAAATGATATTAAGAGGATTCCTAGCCCCATTCCGGTTCCAGGCCATCCAAAGCACCTCACCCCACAGTCTAAGGGTGGCCCCTTCACCCTGTAGAGTGACAAGAAGCTCTAGGGACGTACTTACTTGGAACGCCCATGTATCTAGACAAGGCTTTTTTTTTGATGCCGTCACACATCTAGAGGTCAGCAGATCTTCACTCACTGCTCAGGCTGTCCCCCACCCTGTCCTACCTCACCGTCTTATGCCTCTTGGCTCCTGATTGATCCCTGCCTCCATCCTTCCCCTCTAAGTCATTAGTCATCCACATGCCAGCCCAGGTTCCTCAAAGCAAAAGCCATGGTATCCCTTCCTCAGGCTCCCGCCTGCCAGGGTGGCCTTGCCTTGTGCTGCCCACCGCCTGCACCTGACTCCTCACGGGCGTTTTCCTCAGCAGTGACCTTCACCTTTGCTCTTTCCTGCCTGGAGTTTGTCTGACTCTGCCACTCTTGCCAGGCCTTCCCTGGCCACTGCCCAGAGTTGTGTGTGCTGTTTGTCCATTGTCTGATCATTCCTGTGCACATTATACCCTCATCTCTTGCCACTGGCACATGTGCCACTTGAAGACACGCCCTGGCTTTCCTAAAGGCTAAGCTCTCCAAGTCTGCAGCAAGCCATCCCTTGACTATACTGAGTTACTGTATCCCTGTGGACATGACTGTGGCTTGTCCTTTCTGTTTAAAGGGATCTCTAGTCCTACAGATTTGGTCTAGCCTTTTGGGGTTCTGAGATTTGTAGTTACTGGGTTCTCAAGTGACATCCAGATGGGCCAAGAGTATGCAGTGAGTACAGGAATGCAGGAAATTGGGTTCCAGGACACATCTGTGTGAGGAAAAGGGACAAGACCAACACCAGTGAGCTGGCTTCTATAAGCTTCCTTTAAGCCAGGGCCTGAGAGAGACGTGCCTTAGCTGTCTGGGAGAAGTCCTGTTCTGCCTGAAACCCTCATGCTGCTCTGGCCGCTGCCTCCACACACTGCAGGTCACCTAGGCTGGGAAGGTAGTCCTGTGTTTTTTAGTCAGAATTCGGGCTGGTGGTGCCCTGCCACTGTCTCCTGACAGAGAGGCCATCTGTTAATCTCTGGGTATAAGCCCTCACATTTACAGCTTTCTCCCTGGGGGTGGGGGTGTGCTCATGCATTGGCACATGCATTGCAGTCAGAGGGCAGTGCCTTCAGAATTTATAGTTTCCAGGGATTGAACTCCGACTTGGTGGCAAGAGGCCCTATCAGCTGAACTAGTTCAATAGCCCACCTCAGATTTTGGGGATTTTTTGCGGGGGGGGGGGGGAAGGATTGTTGAGACAGGGTTTCTCTGTGTAACTTTAGAGCCTTTTCTGAAGCTCACTCTGTAGACCAGGCTGGCCTCGAACTCAGATATCCACCTGCCTCTGCCTCCTGAGTGCTTGGATTAAAGGCGTGCACCACCACTGCCCGGCTTGCCCACCTCAGTTTTTAAGGGATCATTATCACATGTGATTCCCTGTGTAGAAGATGGTGATTCAGCCAAGCTGCACCAAGCAGTGACAAGTGGGACCTTGTTCATGGTGTCACAACATGCTATTACCATGTTCCTCAGGAGCTGTCTCGAAGCATACTGTCAGAAATAGAAATCCAAAAGCAGCACTGTCCGCCGCTGATATGTGAGAAGAGCAAGCCAGTCCCACTAAAGCTGTTCACCCCCCGGCTCGTCAAAGTGTGAGTGCTGGGTGCCCTGACGACACCAGGACTGTGGACGGGCTAGGGGCGGGCAGAGCATCTGTTCACAGCGTGTGATGGGGAAAGGCTGTACTGAGGCAGGCTCGGCTCACCTCCACTGCCTCGTTGACTCTAACTGTAGGCTTGAGTTTGGACGGAAACAAGGCAGCACCAAGGAAGAGCAGGAAAGGAAAAGACTGATCCACAAACACAAGCGGGAATTTAAAGGCGCCGTCCGGGAGATCCGAAAGGACAATCAGTTCCTGGCCAGGATGCAGCTCTCAGAAATCATGGAACGGTGAGCAAGGACTCTACGGGACTAGGGCACCACTGTGTGGACACCATACTCGTAGGTCACCGGTTTTTCTCAGTACCAGGAAGCATGGTGACTGGCCAGATGTGTATGGTTCTGAACTGTTGGTGTTCAGACAGAAGGAAGGCCAGCAATCTTGAAAACTGGTGCAGAGTGACATTTGCTTCTCTCTATTTTTTAGGGATGCGGAAAGGAAGCGCAAGGTAAAGCAGCTTTTTAACAGCCTGGCTACACAAGAAGGTGAATGGAAGGCTCTGAAGAGGAAAAAGTTCAAAAAATAAATTATTTTGTAAATGTAGCAAGAGTGCATTGTGTGTTGTAATGAAGGGTTTTGGAGGGACATTGTGGAGTGTCTGATCCCACTGCTACACCTCAGCGCCTGAAAAAAACAGCCTCCATTGCCATGTGGTGGTGGCATGGGCCTTAAATCCCAGCACTCAGGAGGCAGAGGCAGGTGGGTCTCTGTGAGTTTGAGGCCAGCTTGGTCTACAAAGCCAGTTCTGGGACAGCCAGGGCTGTTACAAAGAGAAACCATGTCTCAAAGAAAAGGAAAAAAAAAAAAGGCCTCGGATGCCTGAGTGAGCTCAGAACCAGAAGTACTGCAGAGGTTCTTCACTGTTAGATGACAGCCACAGCCCGGGATAACATTCTGTGCAGTCCTGTAAAACTGACGAGCTATCAGTATGGTAAGTGTGCCGGATAATGTTTTTACCACCAAGTCGCCTCCCTCTGAGATCATCTCCTCACACAAGACAGACAGTACGTGATGACCTTGTGCGACAGGGTGCTGATTAGGAATCTGATTTAGATGTGGCAAAGCCACCACTGGAGCACAGGATGGAGTATAGAATGAGCTGGAAGACCCACCTTGGAGGGACGGAGGCTCCGCAGTCACCTTATCTCTTCCCTGAGGACTCTTCAGGGACAGAGGCCATGAATCTAGAATGGCCTGGGGCCTGACCCCCACCAGCTAGGCTGGTTAGCGCCCTGCTGCTATCCACTCTCAGGGATTCCGCCACTTTAAATTAGCCACAGGGCTCTGCCCTCTGTGTAACCAACTGCATCAAGAAACAGCAGGGCCAAATCTGGTACCGGGTATCTAGTGGAGGACTTACTGTTCAATCTTATGATGGTGGGACACGTCAACAAAAAGTTCATAGACCCCAACCTTGTCCCGTGTCATCAGAAGGGGAACATAATGCAGCTAGAAGAGGCCATCACCCAAGGGTGCATTCTGGTGTGTCCTCTAGAGAGAACCAACATGAACTGCAAGAGGATAATACCATTAGTGGGTCATTGCTTTCTCCGCCTGAAAGTTTGGTTCTTTGTTTTGGAGACATGGTCTTAACATGCACTGCTCTGGCTGTTCTCAAACTGTAGTTGGTTGAGGGAGACTTTGAATCCTCGTCTTCCTGTCTCCACCTATGCCCAGCTCCAGCACGGTTTAGAGTAAGTTAGATGGAGGCAGGAAGATCAGGAATTCAGAGTCAGCCATGGCTACATGAGACCCTAACTCAAAAGAAAACTACATAAGTGCCAAAGCGACAGAACTGGGCAGATAAGCTGTCTCTTAAATACATTAACTCTCCAGAACTCCACTATAAGCTTTCTAACGCCTCTGAAGGGCCAAGCCCGTTCCCGCCGCCTTGCCTCCCGGAAGAGGAGGTGCCTGCTCCAAAGCCTCCGGGGCGTGGCCGCTACTCAGGGAGCTTCTCTGTCCATCCACCCGTGGGTCCCGATCAGCAGCTGTGGCAGGTGTGCATAGGTCCCAGATTGGTGGGCAAGAGGCAAGGGTTTAGGTATCGCATGGAGAGACCAAAGTGGCGCGTGGAACAGGCGCTCTTGGCGCCCGCAACTTCCAACCAGGGTTTCCTGTCTTCTCCCTGCTACCCGCCTCCTCGTAACAGGGAGTCCTGATAGCTAAGCCTCTGAGCTTTCTGCTACCCTGAGTAAGGGAGTCGAGCCTTACTGGTGTACCAGGACCCATTTAGAAGCACTTCCGTTATGTCTGGCAAGAACCTGGAAATCGAGTTTTTCAAGAGGAAGGTAAACGGGGGCTTACGACCCTGCGGCGTCTTCACCACACCCTCCCCACCCCAGCAGGGTTGGAGCTTCCACCATGGGATGGGAAGGGGATGCAGACTGCACACCGCGTCCGCCGATACGGCCTTGCCCCGTGTCCGAGCGCCGCGTGGTCACCGTGATCTTCCTTGGCCTACTACTCGACCTCCTGGCCTTCACGCTGTTGCTACCTCTGCTGCCAGGACTCCTGGAGAGCCACGGCCGCGAACAAGTGAGCCCCCTCCCCCAAGGCGGGATCGCTCCCCCTGCCCAGCTACTAGACTCACCCAGCTGGAGTTACTTTCCTTGTCACCCAGGACCCCCTCTATGGCTCCTGGCAGCGTGGGGTAGACTGGTTTGCTACAGCCATCGGGATGCCAGCAGAGAAGAGGTACAACAGCGTCCTATTCGGAGGTATGTCCCTGCATGCCAGCTGGGGCCCATAACCCTTTCTTGGAGAGCTAGCTCCTTCTGAGCTCTTGGTCAGCCCTCCCCTCCTCCCTGGGTTCTTGCCAGCTTCCTTCTTTCCTGCAGAGCCTCCTTTGACGAGCAGATGTTTTCTCATTGAGGCCACCTGAGCTTCAGTCGATGGCCTGTGAGTGTGGGGCTCAGTGTGCTCTGCATTCTAGGGCTGATATGCATGGATAACGCCACCAGTGATGGTGACCTCTGTCTCTCAGGTCTCATCGGCTCAGCCTTCTCCCTCCTTCAGTTCTTCTCCGCACCACTCACCGGAGCTGCTTCTGATTGCCTGGGGAGGCGCCCAGTAATGTTGCTATCCCTGGTAAGTCCCTGGATCCAGGTATCCATAGGCAGAGAGGAGAGAATGCTGCGGTGGGTTTCTCTGCCAACAAACAGTAAGCGCTCATCCCTTCTAGAGGGTCCTGTGACCCCTGGTAAATATACTAAGGAAGTCACAGGGGACACAGCTGGCCTGGGTCTGACTGAGTTTACCTGCCTTACTGTGGGTCCTTCCTGGCCTCAAGTGACCACTCCTGCCACTTGGCCTCTACCCATTGGCAGACAGGTTTGGCCATCTCCTATGCAGTATGGGCTGCCTCTCGGAGTTTTTCAGCGTTCTTGGCTTCCCGGGTGATAGGAGGCATCAGTAAGGGGAATGTTAGCCTCTCCACAGCCATCGTCGCTGACCTGAGCTCACCTCCATCCCGCAGTCAAGGCATGGTGAGTGAATAGACCCAGGGAACAGTGATTTGTGTCTGGCTTGGGTCTCTGCCCAGCTTAAGTCACCTTTGCCCTAGGCAGTCATCGGGGTAGCCTTCTCCCTGGCCTTTACCGTGGGCCCCATGCTCGGAGCATTCCTGTCTGTGGAAATGGTGCCTTGGATCAGCTTACTCTTTGCGGTCTCCGACATGTTGTTTATCTTCTGCTTCTTGCCAGAGACACTGCCCCAGGAGAAGCGGGTAGGCCCAGGTCCAGGGGTGAGGGCTCCTTCAGTAGGTCTGAGGGGATTTCCTTTATGTGCCAGTGCCAAAGGAAATTGGCCTGTCCTCGAGCTGCTAACATCGCAGCACCTCCTGGGTTCCCTGGATCTTTGCCCCTAAGGCCTCAAAGGTTCAGCTTCCTGCAGTGTGAGGGGAACATCCTGGTCCTTAGGCTGCCAGGTCATGTGCTCCCAGCCTCCTGGCCAGCTTCCCTTTCTCCCACAGGCTCCCTCTGTCACCCTGGGCTTCCATGCTGCTGCCAACCTGCTCAGCCCCCTGGCCCTGCTTCGTTTTGCCGCTGTCACCCACAGTCGGGATCCACCTGCTGAGGACAGTAAGAAGGCTGCCCCTTACTGAGCTCAGTGTTTTGACTACCCAGCATGAGCAAAACTCAACCTATGAGCCCGGTGGTGGTGGTGCATGCCTTTAATCCCGGCACTCGGGAGGCAGAGGCAGGTGAATCCATGTGAGTTCAAGGCCAGCCTGGTCTACAAGAGCTAGTTCCAGGACAGCTAGGACTGTTACACAGAGAAATCCTGTCTATAAAATAAAAAAAATCAACCTATGGTCTGTGTTGACTCACAGGACTTAAGAGCCTACGTCGATTGGGGCTTGTCTACTTCCTCTACCTCTTCCTGTTCTCGGGCCTGGAGTATACACTCAGCTTCCTTGTACACCAGCGTTTCCAGTTCAGTAGGTAGGTGCCCACCTTAGGCTCTCCTTCAAGGCTTTCAGACCCCAGGTCCAGGGAACCTCTGGCACATCCACCAGCATCCTGGCCTTGCCCATCCCCCAGGCAGTTGGTGGCCTAGGGGGCTGGGTGCTCACCCTCCACCTCCTAGCCTGCAGCAGGGCAAGATGTTTTTCTTCATCGGCCTCACCATGGCCACAATACAGGGCACCTACGCCCGACGGATCAGCCCTGGCAAGGAAGTTGCAACTGTGAAGCGGGTAACGGACTTACTTCCTCTACAGTTCGGGATAGGTGGTGCTTTTGACTCTGGCAGGCTGTGGAACTCGTTCTGAGATTTCTGTTTTCTCCAGGCAATGCTGCTGCTGGTACCAGCCTTTCTCCTCATTGGCTGGGCTCATTCACTGCCCATGTTGGGCTTGGGACTGCTGCTCTATTCCTTTGGTGAGTGGGCCCTGCCAGGGCTGGTGTGGACATCCCCATGCCTCTCCTGGGCTGACAGTGCCTCCCAATACTCTCCTACCAGCCGCTGCTGTCGTGGTGCCCGGCCTGTCCACCATGGTCTCCAGCTATGGTGAGAATCCTCCCCCAAAGGCTACTCAGGGTAGGAGGGCCAACTGGCATCTGACAAGTCTTCTCCCCTCAGGTTCTCCTGGGCAAAAAGGCACAATCATGGGCATACTGCGGAGCCTTGGCGCCCTAGGTAGGGCAGTGGGACCTATGGTGGCCGCCTCAGGTAAGTACTGCAGGATAGCTCTCAAGGCTTGCTGTGACCCTCCTGCAGCCATTCCCAGCTGCCTGCTCTACTCAGTTCTGGCAGCTGAGGGGTTCGGGCAGGAACAGGGCGAAGAAAAACCTGGGTGAGCACCTATCTCTCCACAGTGTACTGGCTGGCTGGGGCCCAGGTCTGCTTCACTGTGTGCTCCGGGCTCTTTTTACTCCCCTTCTTTCTCCTGTGGACGTTGAGGCATCCAGCACCGACTTTCAAGGAGGAGTAGCTGAGCTACCGCAGCACCTTGGCTGCCAAGTCGGAACCTTGGCCATGACCACTCTCCACTCCTAGCCCACTCCTTCCTCCAGTCTCAGAGAGGCTTGCCACCCCCCTCCCCTCAGTATGGCATCCCAGCAGGAAGCCGGCAGCTTTACCCTCTTCTTACTCCAAAGGCCTTTAGGCTTCTGATTGTTTTTTATCTGTCATCCTTTTGAATGACCAATAAAGCAGCTATTTTGTACCAAGTACCTTTCTTCTTGACTTACTATTTAACACTTTCATACTGTCTTGGGGAATATTATTTTAAGGTGATTTTGTTATACTACATTTGTTTAACTCTGTGAAGCTGTGATTCTTTGCCTGTCTAAAGCACCTGCTGGTCCTAATACAGAGCTGAATGGCCAATAGCAAGGCAGGAACATGGAGAGACAGGGCTAGCAGACAGTAGAAGGAGAAGCAAGAAGCAAGAGAGCAAGGAGAGGACTTCAGGGCCCAGCCACACGGTCACCATGAAGTAAGAGTGAAAGATGCGAAGAAGAAAAGGAAAAGCCTGAAGGCAAAAGCTAGATGGGATAACTTAAGAAAAGCTGGCAAGAAACAAGCAAGCTAAGGTCAGGCATTCTTTACTAATAAATCTCCATGTGTGATTTATTTGGGAGCTGAGTAAAAGGAGCAAAAACATCCACTATAGTCATCTGATAATATACATACCCCATTACCCTCCCATCCCCTTCCCACTCCTGATGAGCTACTTGCCAACAACACCTTTCACTGGTTTTGGTGGCCCACTGGATTTAATTAGCATGGGTATGGTGTGGTGTTATTTACTGGAACACGGGCCACATCACATCACACAATGACTCCCTTCCCCCAGCAACCTTAGCTTCCAATGGCTCACACTCAGAAACGGGTGAGGCCTACCAAACTACTCCCCATCAGTGATGGAATGCTGCCTTGCCAGGCCCAAATTTCATGATATGCAGCTGTAAGTACAAGGTAAAAAGGACTCCAACAGTTCATAGCTATTGGTGACATCTGATCAAGAAATAAAGGCTTGCAGGATTAAGGTGGTACCCTTAATCCCAGCACTTGGAAGGCAGAGGCAGGAGGATTTCTCTCAGTTTGAGGCCAGCTGGTCTACAGAGCGAGTTCTAGGACAGCCAGGACTGTTTCACAGAGAAACCCTGTCTAGAAATAAAAATAAATAAATAAACAAGCAAATAAATAAATAAATAAAGGCAGGCTTGGGCTGGAGAGGTGATTCGGGGTTAAGAGCACTGCTCTTCCAGAGAACCAGGTTCAATTCCCACCATATCACATGGCAGCTCACAACTGTATGTAACTCAAGTTCCAGAGGATCTGACACCCTTGCACAGACATGTGCAGTAAAAACACCAATGCACATAAAAATCTTTCAAACAGAGAAAAAGAAATAAAGGTTCTCAGTTTTAGTTGGGCGGTGGTAGGTATGCCTTTAATTCCAGCACTGGGGAGGCAGAGGCAGGCAGATCTGTGTGAGTTGCAGGACAGGCTCCAAAGTAAAGAGAAACCCTGTCCCGGGGCTGGGGTGGGGGAGGATTCTCACAAGACAAACTCTTATAAAACCCTATTTTAGAGCAAGAAAGGTAGCACCTGTCACCAAGCCTAATGACCTAAGGTTTATCCCCAGAACCCACACAGTAGAGAATATACTGGCTCAGGTTTTCCTCTGACTAACATGCACACAGCATAAAACACACATGTCTAGATACACATTCTTAAACTAAATAAACTAAGGGAACAAAAACATCAAAATATAAAACTGCTTCCAACCTCAGACAAGGAAACTGCTTAAAGACTTTTATTTGTGAGTAAAACCTGTTACAGCGAGGAAAGGACACAAAGGACCTGTCCTCCAAGTCTGTCCAGATATGCAACGATAGTTCATGTGTAATACAAAGAATTAGACTACAAAAGTGAGAAGTCATTGCATATGTGGGATAAAGAAAGGGGCAGGGGAGGACGAGGAAGAGTCCGGATGAGTGAAATCAGGACTAGGGTGAGAACTTCATACCATCTTGGTGACAAAACGAGACAAGCATTGCAGCAGGCTATGGGGGTCCCGCGTGGTCCCTAGTCAGGAGATCGCATGGCTCAGTCCACACCCTAGCACCTGCTCTCCAGAGGCCCAGCCCCAGCAGGGTTCTAGGGCTCCAGCGGGCATCCTCACTCCTGGCAGTGGAGCTCCTGGAACAGGGCCCCTTCAGGGCTCCACCTGACCACCCTCCATCTCCAACTAAGCAGTTTCAAGCCCTTTTCTGGGATGAAAGTAAAAATTCATAATAGGATGGATCAAGAAAGTCATGGGCTCCATGAATAATGCAAGACATTAGTTGGCACCTCCAAGGCGGGCTTCTGCTATAAGTCACCTCCAAGGCTGGCTTCTGGCATAAGGTACCTTTTATCAAAGCCAGGGCAGCTTTCAGACTGATCCCTGCTCCACTACAAAACCTCCCCACACAAATCAAGAGTGTTCTGCAGTCTGTCACAGGTTCTATAACAAAAGCTAAAGCAAAAAGTGGCCTGCTCAAATTCACAGTCAAAATGTAGGCTAAATTGCAAACCCACTGAAAAGAAAGTTCTAGAAAGGACTCTTCCTCCCTCCTGGTATCTGTTCCCTATGATAGGAATCCAAGACTCCAGTAAGATAAACTATGAGCGCCTGAATCTGGTTTTGGTCATAGGGTCACCAGTTAGACCATGCATAGCGTTGTGCTGGGTGTACACAGGGTCGCTCACTGCTAGGGCAGCAGGTTCAACCCACTTCTTTAAGGCAGCCACAGTGCCCTGGGCTGCTGATGGGCATGAGAGGGTTTTCTCAGACCATGGCTAGATTCCCTGTGTATGGGGATAACCGACATCACTGAGCAGAGGATGCCAGCAGAAGCCAAGTCCAAATCAGCCACCTGAGACTCCACGGGGTGGAGGGAAACCAAGCAGACAATTTGACACTCACAACAGGAGAGTGAGAGGCAAGGCTCAGGAGGGTGACGCTGTAACCAGAGCTGGCAGAAGCCTCCAGTGCCTTCCAGCCAGGACCAGGATTCAATGTCCCCCTCCTGCAGGGGGGCACAATTCACAGGTGCAGGCTAAGCCCATCTCCCCACAGAACCCAAGGCCCAGGGTAGGGGGACTGAGCACACACTGGGTTAGCACTGGTGAAGGGGCTAACCACACATAGGAGGGGGCTCTAGTTACATGGAGGTCTTGGCTTTTTGCATTCCATTACACAAGAGGACAGAACACAAGACGAGAAAGGGAATCCTGGCAGAGCCAGGTCACTAGACATGACAGTGTACAGGGTGGGCCTTCAGGAGTCACTCTTCTTCTTGCTCTTCTTCAGGAAGGAAGGGGTGCGGAACTTCTTCTTCTTTTTAGATGGGGACTTGCCTGGAGACCCATCACTGCCAGGGTCCATGGGAGACCCCTCCTCAGTGGCAGGGGAGGCTACCTCTTCGGCCCCTGGAGCTGAAGCTGAGGCTGGCTCAGGGTCAGCCTCAGCAAGGGGCTGAGTGGGGTCTGGGGAATCATGAGCTTCCTCCTCCACTGTTGGGAAGCCAAGTGCTTCTGAAGGTTCATCAGGGGAGAGGTCAGGGAGAGTAGGCTTGAAGGTGGTGGCATCACTGTCATCCCTGGGCGTCGGCTCCTGTGGAAGGTCTGATGGTGATGGTGAGAGAGGTGTGTTAGAACCTGGACAGAGCAGCTGGAAATGAGAGTACTGGACAGAGCGGCTAACGTCTAGAGTTCCTAGATATTCCCTAAACTGAAACTTGACACATGGTGTACTACTCTGCTTTTAAAGCTGGATATAGCACATTTATAAAACCTCCCAATCTCAAAGACATTCTAGTACCTTCTCACAAAGAACACACTGACAAACCAGACTGACAGGGCCAGAGCTACAGCCTGCCACTTCTGCAAACAGACCCCATCAGGACACAACACTCTGTCAGACAATGAAGACAGGTCGGCTGGTGTCCTGTGTCCAGGAATTAGGTCTAAATTTGGTTATACAGCATTCAGTCTTCCCCAAAGCAGTCAGTGGAAAACCAGGAGTCAACTATAAGATCCCATATTCAATAAAATAAAACTATAGTTAGCCACGAAATGGACTGTAAGGCAAGCTGCCTTCACAATTTGAATAGCTAAACATAAGGAGCGAAATTAAGAGAAGAAAGGTTTACATCTAGGGCACAACACATTTCTACACTGACCAAGGGACACCAATATTGTAGACATTTAGTCTGTAAAATTATAAGCAATTGGCATGTTAGGCAACACCAAACCATTTAGTACTTAAAAATCAAGCCAAAGATCAGAACCAAGAGCAGCCGAGCTAAGCATGGGTTAGGAGCAGCCTGGCCGCCAAAGGCCCCAGGCCTCAAATGAGTGCTTAAGCTTGGGAGGCTGGAGATGCCCTAGAGAGCACCCTGATGGCTATCCTCTGACCTAGGCTAACTGGCAGAGAGAGGATGCAGGCCCATAGGCGCCATATACCTCAGCACTGGGACCCTCTCTGCCAAGCTCACCGCAGAACAACTATCACTCCAGTCCACTAAGTTGCCAGTCCCAACTTAAGCACAGGTCCAAGCCTCCAAAACCGGCAGGTGGCAGAAACTACCCTGTCAGAACCCAGTCCACATTTACTCCTGATCCCTTATGGCAAAAGCTCCCCACCAAACAATCAAAATATATTATCAAAGGTTAAGCTAAGAGCTTTCTGTGGCCCAGGATACTCTGGACACCACTGTGATAGGGGCCAGGAGCATCCTGGGAAGCTGGTGCCACTTTTCAGCATTCTAGCGACCAAGGAGGCCACTGAGAAAACTGAGAAACTATTTTTATTTTGGATATACAGAAAACATAAGCAACAGAGAAGCAGGAAAGCAAGGCACAGCGCAAGCACCTGGTTAGAGCAGAGGCAGGCGCGGGTACTTACTAGGGTAACAGGTACTCTTTAGCACATCCGTCTCCTGCTGTAAGGCGGCCACAAGGAAGAAAGCACAAGTAGAGAGTCTATGCATTCAGTCACAGCCATTGGGTTACATAAGAAGAAAGGCCAAGCCACTCTTATAGACCAGACTTGGGTGAGGGGAGCCAGGAGACACAGACGTACACTGGAGACTAAGGGACACACGTGGCATGTGTCGGACCACAGAACACATACATGCAGTGATCTGAGAGGCAGAGGGGGCACGTACAGCACT